CCTGGAGGGCACAGGGGCCTTACGTGGTATTATGCCCAAAACAATGCTTGGAACGTAGTAGGCACTTAGCAAATATTGTTGACCGACTCTTAATTTAGATGAATGATGAATGAATTTTGCTAAAATTTGAAATTTGGAAAGTAAACAATATTCTTTGAAGAGGGAATAACTGAGAATATTTTAAACAGACGTCTGGGGCCGAGCCCGTGGCGCATTCGGGAGAGTGCGGCGCTGGGAGCGCAGTAGCGCTCCCGCTGCGGGTTCGGATCCTATATATAGGGATGACCAGTGCGCTCACAGCGCTCACTGGCTGAGCGCAGTGTGGCCAGTCTCAAAAAAAGGACAAAAAAAAAAAAAAATTAAAAAAAAAAAATAGACATCTGATGTATATATGATCATTTTTGATCAGGAGTCAGCAAACTTTTTCTTTTCTTTTCTTTTTTTTTTGTCTTTTTCCGTGTCCGGCAACGGATCTCAACCCTCAGTGTCGCCCCCACACCGGACCGGGACCGGCAACGGGACCGCAACCCTCGGCGTTGCCCCCGCGCCTCGCTCAGCCAGTGAGCGGGAACCGGTCTGTATGTGGGATCCGAACCCTCGGGCGGGAGCGCCGCCGCGCTTCCCAAGCGGCGCACTATCCAGTGCGCCACCGGGCTGGCCCCAGCAAACTTTTTCTGTAAAGGGCCAANAAAAAATAGACATCTGATGTATATATGATCATTTTTGATCAGGAGTCAGCAAACTTTTTCTGTAAAGGGCCAGATAACAAATATTTTCAACTTGTGGGCCATATGGTGTTTGTCACAATTATTTGACTCTGAGATTGTAGCCTGAAAGCAGCCATAGAAAATATGGAAATGAATGGGTGTGGTCATTTTCCAGTAAAACTTTATTACAAAAACAGGGAGTGGGCCAGATTTGGTCCTTGGGCTATAGTTTAATGACCCCTGTTTTAGGTAATAGCAATAAGCAAAAGAAGGAAAAGTAAGAAAGCACATATAATTCTCCTTTCTAGAGAGATGATATCAATCATCTTGGTATAGCCTTCTAGTCTAGAGATAACATTAAACCTTTTGGTATATCCTTCGAGACTTTTCCTGTACATACACATACAAATGTTGACTTGCCACATAAAATATCTTGGGAAAGTCTTTATGAATGAGATAAATATAGGGTATGCCTTCATTTTTCATGGCTTCAGTGGAATTCCATTGTATGGATGTGTCTATTGTTAGGTTCTCTAGCTATTTCCAGGGTTTTGCTATAAAAACAATGCCGAGTTCATATCCTTGGTTATTTCCTTCAGATAAAATCCCAGAAGTGGATTTGGTGGGGCAGAGAGTAGGTGTCAGATTAAGGCTTTTGGCATATGTTGTCATATTGCCAACAAAAAGGTCAGCCTGGTGACCCTCCCCATTAGGTGATGTGAAAGAAGCTAAATAATCCACCTCTTCCATCTCTAGTGAAGACCCAGTGAACTTGGGTTTATGGAAAAGCACACAAACATTTTTCAATCTTCTGGCTAATACCTGGCTTTTAGGGAGGCAGTGGGAGTGTGCTGACAGTAATGTAGTGATACAGAATAGGTACTTTCCATCATGTAACGGGGAGACCCGTCCACTCCATCCCCCAGGGTTTGCCATTGAAGGCCCCTCCCAGGCGAAGATCGAGTATGACGACCAGAATGATGGATCATGTGATGTTAAATACTGGCCCAAGGAGCCCGGCGAATACGCCGTCCACATCATGTGTGACGATGAAGACATCAGGGACAGCCCATACATGGCCTTCATCCACCCGGCTACAGGAGACTACAACCCAGATCTGGTGAATCAGCTTGTCTTGTTTTTGTCCTCTCCTCTCTGGCTTCTGACCCTTCTCCCACACTGTGCTTGGAGAGTTGCTTTAAGCAGCGTGTTGAGAGATGGCAGACAGGAACCCTTTAGATCTTAGGAAGGAACTGGGCCTTAATTTGAATCCTGGTAGTACCACTTAGCACTTTCATAGTGTTGAGCAAGTAATTTATGTCTCTGACTCTTGGTATCTTCCTCTATAAAATGCAAATGACAGTCATGTTTGTTTCCTGTAGCTTCTGGGATGATTCAAGGAGGTAGCATGCATAAAGGTAGCCTTTAGCACAGTGCCTGACCATGTAGGGGGCTCCATAAACTGCTATTTCCTTGCAACACAGAGCATCATATTTCAGTCTTGCCACTTTCTGTAGTTATTTCAAGATGCTCCATAGGTAAAGGTTGTTTGTTCCCCCAGCTCCCTTTCTCTTAAATTTGGAGCAGTGTTTCCAAGAGCTTCCTCCCAATCCCATAGGAGATTGATAAGCATCAAGTCTAGGCCAGCCTAGCTGACAGGAGGTGGCCACCACTCTCCCATGTGTGCTGCTGTTGGCCCACTTTGGCAGCTGTTCATAAGCTGGCGTCATTCGGGCTGGTAGCTACCCCTGTTTGGCCATAGTCCTTTGCTTTCTGGGGGCTACAAACTTTTGAATGCTGTCTGTGGCAGATGTCTGAGTCCCCTCAAAGTGGGAACATTGAAACTGGTCATGGCATGGCTGGGGATGCCTGCTCCAGTTACTAGAAATTCTCTGTGTCAGCTCAGAATAAGTCAGGGAGCTTGGGTTAGTTTGAGCCTGGTTTTAGAGGTTTTTCTCCCTCAAGAGAGGTTAAGATACTATTTATTTTTAAGTTACGGCCTACTTTTTTTTTTTTTGCGGCTGGCCAGTACAGGGATCGAACCCTGGACCTTGGTATCAGCACCACACTCTAACCACCTGAGCTAACCAGCCAGCCCCAAGTTACAGCGTTTTAATTCCCATAACCATCTTGTTAGGTGGATACTGTAAAACCAGATGCAAGTCATTTTGTCCTTCCCCTATTCCCTGGTTACCAGTCTGCATATAGGGGTTTGGTTGGGGCTTTACACAAAAAGATAATTATTATTGGCCCTTTGCCCCAGGTCCAAGCATATGGGCCAGGTTTGGAGAAATCTGGGTGCATTGTCAACATCCCAGCCGAATTCACCGTGGATCCTAAGGATGCTGGAAAAGCTCCCTTAAAGATATTTGCTCAGGTAAATTTCTGGGGGCCCTGCACAGTTAATTGTCAAGTGACAAGATCTGTCAGTGTAATGGCAAATTGCTCAGTCCATCTGATCTTCAGTTTCCTCACCCACCCATTGGGAATAAGAATATTATGTCATGGGGTTATGTGAGGATTAAATGAGACTAACACATAAAGAAGAGTGTTTTTATCGTCTTTATGATTCTGTGGAAATAAGGCTTGACTGTTTCAAATTACTCCGTAATATCTTTTGGTGTGGCTGAAGCTGCTTAGGCCCAATGGGAGATTTGTATACAAGATTTTAAAAATATGTTTATCTAATTTAATTGAATTTGGCCAACGGACTTAAATGTGGGAATTGAAATTGTGAAGCATTGTGTGGCCATGGTTTTATTTTTAGGCCATTTTCTCTTCATAATTAAAAATAAATAAACGCATGTGATATTTTCTTACCTGTTGTCATTGTATTGTGAGAACTTGGCAAATGATAATTGTTCCTGAAGTTTTGTTGGATGAGCAGGTGGTGACTCTCGTGTCTGGGGAGGCCACGGTGGCCCTGTTGGATACAAACAATGTGAGGGCCACCTCTGTTCCTCACCCTGGCTCTTTTGCAGGATGGGGAAGGTCAGCCCATTGACATCCAGATGAAGAGCCGGATGGATGGCACGTACTCCTGCTCATACACCCCAGTTAAAGCCATCAAGCACACCATTGCTGTGGTCTGGGGAGGTGTGAACATCCCACACAGCCCCTACAGGGTAGGTTGTGAGCTGGAATCCTGGCTGTTGCATGAAAAAGCCTAGTCGTGCTCTGTGCCTGATGGCCACTGTATGGAAAGAACCCATGCTTGGTGGGCCTTGAAAGATGGAGTGACCTGAAGGTCGGGGTGCTCTAGACCACCCAAAAGTATTTCTAACCAAACTATTTCTAACAATGTTTCCTAACAATGTTTTACTGGGTCCAAGTGGAGGAGAACTTGATAACTTTATTCGTGTCTTCTGTAGGTCAACATTGGGCAAGGTAGCCATCCCCAGAAGGTCAAAGTGTTTGGTCCAGGTGTGGAGAGAAGTGGTCTGAAAGCAAATGAGCCTACTCACTTCACAGTGGACTGTACCGAGGCTGGGGAAGGTAAGAGAGGCCTTCACGTAAGCTGATGATTATTGCTCCCTGGGGGGGAGTTCTTTTCATTACATTTCGAGGGCAGTACACTTTGAACCAGAAAGTAATCCATCTGAATAGTTCATCTGTGGAGGCTCCGTGTCAGTTCCTCGGTGATATCTTTGCTGATCTTTTAGCCTCTTTCCAAAACCCTGACTTACCACCGTCCCTTTCTCAGTTTTCTTACTAGAAGCTTCCCAGTTGCTTTTTTGGGGTGTTAGTCTGAGCAGGAAGTGATGGCACAGGACATGCTGTTTCTTGTAAGCTGGTGATAATAAGCTGGTCTGTTCCAGGTGACGTCAGCGTTGGCATTAAGTGTGATGCCCGGGTGTTAAGTGAGGATGAGGAAGATGTGGATTTTGACATTATTCACAACGCCAACGACACGTTTACAGTCAAATATGTGCCTCCTGCCGCCGGGCGATACACTATCAAAGTTCTCTTTGCATCTCAGGTGTGTGTTGGGGCCTGGGTTCATTCTGGCCACCTGTGTGCACATCTCTTTTTTTTTAGTGACAGGGAAGGTGTCTTGAGAACTCTGCTCAATATTTTTCTCTCTGGTTCCTTAAAACCAAGAGGGAAAAATACCCAGAACTAAATTTTTAATACTTCCTAACAGGAGCAAGGCAGTGTATTCAGTGGTTAAAAGCAGGACTCTGGAAAAAGATTTGTTATAAATATATAACAGATTTGTTATAAACTTCTATCAAGTTTTTGATTAAAATGTAATTATCTTCTAGACGTGTTCTACTTTGACCTCTTTGAGGTAATGACTTTGGCCTCCACCCTTAACTTTTATAGGGAGAGGCATTTTGAAGTTTCACATGTGTGATAGTGCAGGTGGACTGAGCAGTCCCCTAAAACAGGGAATTTTGAAATACTGTTTAAAATTAACCTTATGTAAGCATGAGAACCTCAGGAGAATGTTCTATGCCTAAAGGTATTGGTCTTGAGTTGACTTCATCTAATACCCTATTCTGCCTTTGTGCTGACAGTCTACAACATTCTTTTTGGAGAATTATAATCATTCTGTTTCTGATTATTTCCTTATATTCCCCAAACCCCAGCTCTCAGCTGTTCCTGGGGGACGTTTTCTTCCCCCTGACCCCATTTATCATTGTTATTTTTGGTTTTATTCTTGGTAGTATTTTTTCTTCCTAAGTACTCAGCATT